GATGCTGAAAAAAGTCTCTTTGCAATGTACATCCTTGTGATTTCATGTCTTGTATGCCTTTGAATTCTCTGATATCCCTTTTAGATTATTTTAAATTTTATGACTTAAACACCTTAAACCTCATTACAAGGATGTTATGACTAAACCCCAAACTCACTGCTAGAGCATTAGGTAAAGTACATCATGCTTTCTAATTAAGTGTACTGCAGAAGACCACATAAACACATAAGTGACTTCAGTCTGCATTGGGGAAAAAAACAGATCCTTACCGCAGTGTCATCCTCTCTGTAAACTTTGATTGTTTTATCAGCCTCAGCCGTGATCAGTCTGCTCTCCGAGTGATCAAAAACACAAGCAAAGATTCCCGACTCGCTGTCCAGGGAACCTGGCTGAACAGCTGCGTGAATTCTTTGGAAGTTGTAGCCAGTTCTCCAATCCCACATGTGGATCGTACCATTGTCAGCTGCAAGAAAATGCAAGTATGAGGCAGACTAATACATGTGCATGTGATCATACTAACTCTCTACTACTTAAAATAACTGAGGTTTCAATTAAAAGTATATACAATTATCACATTTCATTTTGAAATGCTTCAAAGTAGAACACAGACTACAGTGTTTGATGCTTATTTTAATAATAGTGAGGAAAAAAAGACAACATTTCTGACTTACAACAAACATGCTAATTGCTTATTGAGCTGGACTCACAATCAAAATTAACAGATTTCCATACCTCCTGATACCAGGACTCCATCAGAGTTCACAGCCAGTGTATTGATAATGGCATTATGACCAGAAAGGTTTTGGATAAAATTTCCATCTGGGAATTTCCATTGTTTAATGTTGTCAGGAGAGCCAGAAGCAAAAGTATACCTGTGTAGAACAGGAAACAGTCATAGTATAGTACACCCCTTAACTATACTGAATCTTTCCATAGTTCCCAAATATGCAATAATAGTGCTAAAAAAATAACATAGTAATTTTTATAATAGTCAGCCTCAATATCGAGTACAAATCCGTGATCAACTTCCAGTGCTAAATACAATGCTCCAGTGCTTCAACAATGGACATTTTGTTCTGCATGGTTCTTATAGGCTAAGAATACAGATAAGGAAAGTAATCAATACCTCAAATTTGGGCACTCTATATCACAAACAAAACTAGACATTTATATTTTTGTGTTCACTCCTTATCACCAGCAAACAGAAGCATTCCACTTTAAGGAATGTCCTATGCTGAGATGTTAAAGAGCTAAACTTTTTAGTCTTGAACAAAGTAGACTAGACAGAGACCTGTCTAAATTATTCAAAAGCCAAAAGATGAAAAAAATTCATCGTGGATACAGGTATCAACTAAATTATTACTAATTACTTACTGTCTTGGATGTAAGACAAGGGCTCTGACAGATTTCTTGTGGTTTGTCAGTGTGACTCTAGTCTTTCCAGCAACTAGATCCCATAATCTGATGGTTGTATCATGGCTGCCTGTTAGAAGAAGGAAAATCAAATTGAAACCAAATAATAAAACCAGTGAATATCCAATTAATATATACACCACACACATATTTGTGTGTGAAGGAAAAGGTAGACCTTTTTAATTTAAAATAAATTAAGTATAATGTTACAGGAGATACAGTGCAGACTGCTGCAAAGGCATATTGAACTGATGTCACTATGCACCTGTACCAGGGACTGCAATTTTCCTGGGCACCAGGAGAGTCCTGGGTTGACTACCAACCCTACTCCAGTGATGCAAAGACAGATATCACTACCACTTAGGTGAGGTTTTCTAGTCATACCTGACTAGTAACATGACTCGGGTTTCAATTTACATGGTCTTAATTACAAAACCCAACCTGTGCTCGAGGTGTGTGCCTTCACCAGCTGAGACACTTGAAAGCTATTATAAAAGTATTGGAAGCTAATTATAATTCTGTTACTAAATATGAACTATTTTTAATGAGAAATACAGAATTAAAAAATGTAGGGTCAATACCAAGAAGAGCTGCATCTCTGAACCCTGAAGTAGAAAAAAACTGGAATGGTTGATGGGTGGAGAGCAGGCAAAAGACTTCAGGACATGACATAAAAACAGGCTTACTGGACTACAAAACCTTGAAAACTTTCAAAAACACTCAAAATCAATTCACTCTTACCTGTAATAATCTGTGGTTCTGCTGACTGGCATTTTACTGTGGCCACTGTGTTGGTGTGCCCTGATAGTGTGTGCACGTTAGCCTTTGTTCTGATGTCCCATACCTACAAAGAAAAAAAAGTATCCAAAAGCTTAACACATAGCCTGATCCTCCATGCTCTCAAACAAAACGGCATTCGAGCAGTGCAATGCTCAATCCAGTCCAATCTTGGTGACCAGCACCATCATATAACAGAAAGTTCAAATTTCAAGATCAAAGTGTGAAACAGCATTCTATATATTTTTTTAAATTCAGCATTCTCTTTGTCACGATTACAGACTCAAATGCAGCAGATTTGATACATACCCTGGCTGTGGAATCTCTGCTACAAGTCACCAGAACATCGATTGTGGGATGCAGGTCTAAATCATACACAGCGCTTAGATGCCCATGGTAATGCCTGATGACCTAAAAATGAAAATGGAAACTTTAGGGTTTCAAAGACAGATTACCATCAGGTCCACCTGTAAAGACTAAAAGGTTTGTAAATTGTGCAATTTAACCATTACTGTGTTTATTTACACATTTTTCTACTTATTGTTAAAGAAAGAGTCTGGATGTGAGTTTTTATATTAAAGGATGTTCTGTCATGGGAAAAGGGAAGATTTTAAGCATCAGGAATTATAAATGTAGAATGAAAAAGATGCACTAAAAATATGCTGTAAAAATAATACCTTGTTATATTCAAGATCCCAGCATTTAACTTGTTTGTCCTCTCCACAGGAGAAAAGGTATGGGCTGCGTGAACTGACTGCGACACCTCGGACAGTGCTAATATGTCCTGTGAGTGACAGTTTCAGTTTTCCACTAGCCAGGTCCCAGATCTGTGGAAATACAGGTTTTAAGGGTTTTTATAAAAATAAAAAATTCCATGCGCCTGACCCAAAGTAAAAATGTTTTTATAGTAAAACAGTACAATAAAAGCATTTAATACACAACCCTAAATTTTGAGTTCATCGATAAATTCAAGCAGCAGCATCTACCATTTAAACACAGAGAAAGGGAGTGCTTACTTTTATAGTTCTGTCAGCTGAGCCAGTGACAAACCACTGATTGCCAGGCTCTACAGCTATAGATCTCACCCATCCTAGGTGACCACTGATTACCTATGAAAGACAAAACATGTGCTTTTTAACATATCAATGAACAGCACCAAAAACTTAAAAGCAATTTACTGTAGCTCACATGCAAATAAAAATATTCCTACCCTGTACAGTTTCCAAGGTGGGTGCCACTGAGGTTTGGGCATGGTTGGTGCTTTCCTTGTTGCTAAAGCAGAATTCTTTGTCCCTACAGCCTCCATTAGAGACTACAATGTAAGGAAAAAATAATTAGGTACACATTTTGACAACAAAAAAACCTAATAAAAACTACGGAAAAAAGGTGACTATTTCATTAGTATTTAGTGTAGCCAAAAGCAAAACAGAACATATTACTTTTAAGTTTCATAAAGCAGTAATTCTACAATGGAACCATGCTGTTTTTCTAAGTACCAAGCAGGGATGATGGCATTTAGAATGAAAACTCACAAACATTCTTACCATAGAATGTGAAGGGGGCTGTGTTCTCTCAGCACTGCCCGCATGTCTGTGAATATCTCCTATGCTGGCTGCAGTTCGGTTAGCATCTTGCCTACAAAGCACAACAATTTTTCTCAAGTTATAGCACACAATTTAAAAATGAGACAATCTAACCAATGACGTGCCTCTAAACTGACCTCCCAATATGGTCTTTATCATAAATTATGAAAACACAAACAAACACTTAACACCTAAATGTGTCAAACAAAACATAGAATTTCATACAAAGATTGTTTTAATTATGGTAACAAAATGACTTGTCTTACCCTTGTAAAAACAGATTTCTTTTTTTTTTAATTTTTAGAAATCTATAAGTGTTAAGGAGACCTAAACCATAATGAGCATGTTGCCACAGAAACAGTGTAAGAACAATTAAAATGTCTTTCCATGTCTGATAATCACTTCTCAATTACAATGAGAAGGCTTTATGGGGAACAATTCCAAACACTCTTGTTTGCTTTTCAAGATTCGTAGCCATGTTAACAGATATAACTCTATAGGAGAAGATTACAATACCTTGCTTGTGATGGTGGTAGTGCCAATGCCAAAGACTGAACACCTGTGTCACTAGGCATTTTCTGTACCTGTGTATCAGCAGTCAGGGCTATACCTGCGAAAGGGAAGAGGGAGTGAAATGCTGTTAATATGCAAAATATAATAAAAAGCATGTGGCAGCAATATAATCAAATTCATAATGAAGGATAAACAATTTGGAGAAAAGAGCAGAATTCACACCTGGTCCAGAGGGGTATGGATGAGTTCCAGTAATAAGATACTCTGGATCATGCCCTGAAAAAAGTCAAATGAAAAGGTGCTCAGATTCTTTTTTTCTTATTATTTATATCCGGTCATTGTTCTCTCAATGTTTCTGCAATATAACTGGCTTAACTCAACAAAACAAGAACAACAAGACAACACAAAAACAAAATAAAAACCTTTGAAGAAATGCCTGTAACCTGAGACACTTACCAGGGTTTGCAGAGAAGTTCTGTTGGCCATAGGGGTCAGAGATCTGGAGGGAGCCCTTGTCTTTGCCCTCTTTGAAAACTGGCATGTGCAGCACAGCACTGTACTCCGTACGCAACTTGACGGCCATCTTGACCTTGTGGCTGACATAAGATAGCATTAGGTGAAATGTGAGCAACTCAGTACAAAGCTTTATAACAAAATGAATTAGATGGGCTTGAAAACACCATTAAAAAGTTGCACTCAGTTGCGGACTCAAGTAAAAAAAACAGCTGTCCCCAATCTTGTTCACAAGTTTTTCGTTTTAACCTTTAACATATCATTTGTGACTTATCTGGACATGTTAACAGATGTTCCCAGCTTTTATTCAGGTGCTGGAGCATTAAAGAGACATGGAAACCCTGCAAGCACACCAGTCCTACATGAAATGGACTGGAGATCCATTTTATGGATGAGACCATTTTATGTATCAAGTTACATGCTTAGTATTCTTGTATATTTTTCTAAGCATAATGTATAATAATTCTTATTCCTTACTTAAAGATCTTCAAACAAGGACAACTTCAAAATTCCAGATATGAAAACAGCTATACCAGTACCTAAAGCATAATTATTTTCTGCTCCCAGTTTCTGATTTTACTTTACTACTAAAAATTTAAGAGAGCACAGCACACAAGTAATACAAATCTTATTTTTAAACACACCTCATGTAAGATATGAGATACCTACAATCTTGAGCAGGGCTACACAACCTATAGGCTCTACATTCCACTCCAATACCAAACTGTGCTACCACCAGATCATTACTTCATTGCTAAATTATTAGTATTATGATTAATAAAGCAATTCCAAGAGCTGGTTAAATCAAACTAGTGTAGTGGAGTCCCTGGTGTGGTCCTGATGTAGAGGGTCACACGCTTTGAAGGATTTACTGTAGTTTTTCTTCACGTTACAATGCTGACAAAGCTCAACAAGTCTTAGGATATCAGCCACCACAAACAACAAGAATACCACTGAAATCCACTGGAAAGTGAAAACTGTAAAGTTGGATTTGACAGATCTTATAAGTTTTCAAGATGTAGCAATACTACAAATAGTATCTATTAATACATTTAAAACCTCACCTTTCTTCATCCATATCAATGGGCTTCGCATGATCAGCCACGAACATATCATGAGTGCGCTTGAGAGATCTGAACACCAGTGTGTGCACAGAGTGCTTCTGTACCTCCTAGAAGATATTATAGGGCAGGCATGATTGTAAAACATTTCTGGAATAACAGCTACAATTCAGTATATTAATAAACACCACAGCCTGAATATAGGTTCTTGAAAATCTATTGAATTGTTTTAACCACACTAACTAGTTAATAGCAATAAACTATTTTATGTAGTGCCTTTAAATGCCTTTATTTTATAGTGACTTTGTGGCTTCACAAAGCACCTTACAGAAAAAATAAATAAAATGAGAGCATACAACAGATACTGTTGAATTCTGAACATATAATAATTTTTTCAATGTGGATTTAGACACTGGCGAGTAGGGCAAGACAGTAATCAATTTGGGTTAACCAACTTGAAAACGAAAGTGACGACCAGCTTGTCAGCAAGAGTTAGCAACACCATAGGACATAGTGTGGCAATATTTCTGAGGTGGAAGAATAATGTTTTTACAATGTGCTGCACATGTGGGTCAAAACGTCAAGCCTGGATCACATATCACCCCAATTGTCATCTAATTAATTTGATAAAATACTAGATGCAAGCATTCAAAATCCTCTTCCGAAAACGTCACTGCTAAACCAACCCAGATTATTTCTTCAAAATTAATATTGAAACACCAGAGGACACGGGTGGAAACTCCGTGAAAGTGAGTGAAAAAAAAGTGGGGCACTTCTTTACAAAGAGGGTTGGGGGAGTATGGAACAATCATAATAAACTTTATTTTAGACAGTTTCTTTAAAAGGAACTTATCAAAGGGCTTTACCATAAGAGAAAAAAATTAACAAGGAGAAGATGTAACAAAATTAGTACAATTAAAAACAAGCGTTTAAAATGCAGAAGAAGAGGCAAGGGGCACACAGAGCCAGCTACTCAACGCCGCTGCTGAAGCCGATACCCTTGGAGTCTTTCAAGAAACCGCGGGATGATATACGTGGATAAGTAAACGTCTAACTAGAAAATGTTGTAACCTTTTATGTTCTTAAGAGTCTTCTCTCTACCCAAGTAGACTGACATACTGATTTATATTTACAAATAAGTACATCAATGAAAACTGACTGAAAATCTTAAATAAACGTATCGCTATTCAGACGCATACATCCATACTAAGACCCGTTTTACGACCTTCAGATTCCGCTTCAGCCAATTATTTCGTATTTATCGAGCAATCACACACAACTAAAACACCATAGTAAGACACCAGAGGGGGGAAAACATAACCATAATCAAATCTTAACTACTACAGAAGATGTTAATTACTTAAGATTCTACAACAAAACAACTGATCTATAGTCTCTAATTTATATAACCTTTAATTCGTACCTTTTAAAACAAAAGAAAGAAGCGTATGCATTATACTGGCCTATACAATACATTTCATTTCAAAGTTCAAACATATTTTCCTTTTGAAAAATCAAAACATAGAACAAAACGAGAAAGAATATAAACAATTAATTACCTCCACCATAGCTGAAGACAAATCCTTTTCACTCGATTACTTTTTTAAATATATTTTTTTTTAACTATTCGAAAACGTACCACCGACAAATAACAGCGCGCACACAATATGAATACAGGAGGAAGGAAAGTCTGCGTTCATTTCCGCTTCCGGGGATAATCAAATCTCGACTGTTAGGAGTTCGACACACTCCTACTGAGTGGTACTATAGCGACTTCTACTGTAGCGGAGGCCAAAAATATATTCGTTAAGAGTGTTACAGTACATACATACAGTAAATGTTGCCATTAATTGAATATTAATATGTATTCTACATTTGATTTTGTGGTGCAATTTTCATTGTTACAATAACGTATATACTGATGTTATACAGTAGTTTTTAAGAGCAAAAAATGTCCACAGAACTTCTAAAAATATACCAAATATATAGTTATAATTAAAATAATTAAAAAATTATCCATCATTATAAACATGGGCAATAAATGCTATAAAATACAAGAAATTACGATTGCTTACAATTACACTGAACCACCAAACGCTCTAGCAGAAGCATCTTAGACCCTGGTCCAGTCCCCTAAATTCTGTAGATCACTGTAAGTCACACTTTTCTGAGGCTTGTGAACAGATTGGTCAATCAAGAAAGTAATTTATTCAATAAGAGTAACCCTGGTCCTAGCTGAGGTCTAGAATGTACAGTACTTGGAATTTTGTTTCATGTGGACTCTACAATACAGAATTTAACGAGTCACCTGAATAATTATTCACAGATGTTTTCCAAGCCTTTGGAAAATACCTTATAGGTACTGAAATGTTTTCAATTGGGGCTCTCCGGGACAGTATTGGAGACCAAGGTTTTGGACAATGGAGAATTAAAACTATTTACTAAAAATAAACCAACTGAAGTAAACATACAAATATGTTTCTACTGTTTTTTTTTTAACAACGCATAATAGTAACGATTTGAGAATTGATAAAACATTGTGTAGGGATTTCACATTTATCATACATTTCATAGCTCACATATTAATAAATACATGCATTTACAGTAAGTATGAAAAAAGGCTGTGGAGCTTTTAGGTGTGGCAAGTAGAGTATAAAAAATTATCAACATCCAAAATGTGTTTATTCTTTATGTTTAGTTTTCACTATGGAAATAGACTTTGCTTGTTCCTTTGCAGCTTTCACACTGACACAACTCACCCTCTAATCTCTTCATTTTATGTGTTGACCATTATACAGTAGCTGATAAATTTGTGCCTATATTGCTACTGCAAAGTCTCTAGCATGCAATAATAACAGTGAATTTTTCCTTTAGCCAATGGATTATATTGTTTTTACTATAGTATTACAATGTTTAAGAGTACACTCTAATATAATGATAACATTTATGACTGTATAGAGAATATTGTGGTAGAGATAACAAGACAGTTGATGGAAACAACTGTCTAGACATACAGTATGAAGGAAGTGAAACTCAGCTCTCTGATCCCCAATGCAACACAGGTTTTGCAGGCA